TAGGGAGTTGCTTTAGTATATATAAGCGTGGCACTCCTTAATTGCTCACTTTGATTTTTATCCAAATGGAAAACGCTACATTTAGCAAGTACAAAGATGAAGACAGTTGAAATTGGTGAAGGGCGGGAATTCCCGAAACTGTCTTTATCTTTGTATTTGCTAAATGTACCGTTTTCCATTGGAATAAAAAGCATATTGAGCAATTCAGGAGTGCCATGCTTATTAAAACTTATATATATATACACACACACACACTATATACAGTCCACCGCACTCTATTTAAAAGGTAAATACCCAGGTACTCATCCACAGTATATATAGAATGAAGGTTTAGGTTTAATTATTACATATTAATACATTTAAAATGCATCTATCTAAGGCAGAGGGTCAGAAGTCACCTTAAAGGAGAACTATGGGGTCAGGGCTTTTCCCCATAGTTCTCCTAAGGGTAACGGGAGGACACAAACTAGCGTCCTCCTGTTACCCTAAGCTCAGTGTACCGCAAGCTGTAGCTCAGCAGTCTCATTTATTAACTCAATACAGTTTTATCTTTTAGATTTAGTCAAAAAATATTTTTTTTTGTGCACGGATACTGATTTTGGTGTGTTTTAACAATTGAATTGTGTATTTTTATCGGTTTAATATTAATTTGAGAAACATTTGCGCAATTATCGCAGGGCCTACAAATTTAGTATCACCATCTTTTTATTCTACCGGGCCTGCGCTTTCAGAAAATATATGGTTTGGGGGGTCTTTTACAAACGCTAGCAACGCAGCAGTTGAAAATCAAATCAATAGGAAAAAATTGCAGAAAATTCAAAAATGGCTTGGCCAGCTGATTTGAAAAATGTTCCGGAGGGCTTGGCAGCGAAAGGGTTAAGTCTCCCACCTTCTCAATGTGCAGTGTGTATATGGTCATTTAGTTGAAATCCAGAATGTCAGATTTCAGCTAATCTCTGATATAATAGAGCTAAATGAGGGGGATATATCATTTTTTAATAGGTAATACCGCTGGATTATAGTAAATGGATGCTGAATACATAAATTCCTCAAATAGCACAGTCGTGAGTGGTTCTCTTCAAAGAGTCTAGAACTCTTGTCTTGAACAAGGCAGTAAAAAGATGATAACAAATTTCTGAATTATTTTAAGTTCCTGCATCCTGCATATCTTTAATCTCATTAATACACGTAATTGTTTCTTACCTGGTTTTTGACATTTGTGACGCATCCCTTCTCCCTCCAGTCTATAGAGTCTGGCACCTTTGAGAAATCTGTAATATTCCACGAGTTACTTGAAAAGGCTTTCTGCATTTCACGGGGAGGTAGTACTAATCCGGTTAGCTGGGCCTCCACTTCTTCACTAGTCTGAATAAAGAAAGAAGCAGTTTCTACTATTAATGAAAGTAAAGCGGCTAGAAACCAGGGCAGACCAAACTGAGCATACGATAACGTCATAACAGTCAGTAGATCCAGAGTTATGGGCAGCTGAATTCCAATTCTTGACTTTTGCTGCAAAAGTTAAGCTTGGTCCCATCTCTTATTGGTCCTTCCATGTGAGGGGTACATCATGGGCCTATAGGAAAGCTTCAGAGAAAGGAGGGGGCAGTGCAAAGCTAAACATTTACAGATCAAAATCCTGTGGCAGGTGCCCTTCCATGTTAAAGTGAACCTGTCATATTTGTGTAAGGCTGGGCACACACCTTACAACCAGCGCAAGACTTTTGTCGTTGTACGATGGTTGTACGATTATCGCAAGGTGTGTGGGGACCTCAGGTCCCCACACACCTTACGATAATCGTACGATCGCGGGATTTCCCACGATTATCATACGATTATCGTAAGGTGTGTGGGGACCTCAGGTCCCCACACACCTTACGATAATCGTACGATCGCGGGATTTCCCACGATTATCATACGATTATCGTAAGGTGTGTGGGGACCTCAGGTCCCCACACACCTTGCGATAATCGTACAACCATCGTACAACGACAAAAGTCTTGCGCTGGTTGTAAGGTGTGTGCCCAGCCTTAAGGTGGCCATACACTGTACAACCATCGCAAGACCTTAGTCTTGCGATGGTTGTAAAGTGATTAAAAAAACGTACGATCTGACCATCTTGGACAGGCAGATCATACTCTCGATCATCGCAAGCCCGCCCCCCTGAAGGGCGGGCTTACGATGACTGTAATGAGGGGCGGGCTTACAATGACTGCAAATGGGCAGTGTGCGCGTTCACGGTCGACAGTTGTCGAACCAGCAGGCCACTAACTCGCCGAGAATCGTACGATTCCCGGCGGGTTTTCTAGCATGGTGGTTCGACGGAAGACGTGCGACCGTACAGGAGAATCGTGCAGTGTATGGGCACCTTTAGAGTGTACGCATTTGTTGAAAAATAAATGATATCCTTTTTATTGCCAGAGTCGAGGATAATTTTAGCCTGTAGCCAAAGCCTAGAGGTGTGATAAGGGAACACATTATTCTGCCATTGAATAACATGGATATAGTGTATTCGCAAGTTAAGAGCATCACACCAATTGGTATAGTCCAGTAAGTGTTCTTTATTTAGTCAATGTAAGAATACAAAGCCAATGCATTACTTAAGGGAACATTAACAGTCTGGGCACCAATGCGTGTTACTATAACTGCCCTCTCCAATCAAATCCAGTACAGAGTTAGTATACCCGTCAGCAAAAGTCCTGATGGAGAGGGATTGGTGAGACCCAGAAACCTGTTGGCTGCCTTGACTTCCAAGAGCCAGCCCACGCACTGTGGGCTCTTAGAAGATGTAGTTCTGGGGAAGCGTGCCATTGTCAATAGGAACTGACCTCCCAGCAACTGCCCTTGCAAGCATTTTACAAGCCTGGTAATGATGACGTCAAAGGAAGGAAATAAAAGTTGTTTCTGGCTACAAGAACAAGATAAAAGTATCTTAATGCTGGGATATACTCTAGATGGGTAGATTAAAAGTTTTGGGGTAAATTTGTTTAATGCCTCAACATGCAACTCAAGTGCACCCCCATTTTTTATTAGATGATTTATATATACTAGGTGCAACAGCCACATAGCCAGCATCCTTAATAGTGTTAATGACCTATTCTACACAGCTGTTCCTTCATTGTATTAAAAAGCTAATGTTGCCCCTACATCTCCCACAGTGAGGGCTGCTGTGCAGGGGATGACAGGGGATGACCTGATATGAAGACAGATTTGGGTATTTATGCTAGTTGTATTGACAAATACAGTCAGTTTTATTATTTTAATAGACTATACAATAGCCTTGATTTTGGCTTAACTAGGAGATGGAACTGTTAATTTCCTGTAGTTTGTTCCTGTTCTTCATCTATGAAAGGGAGGTGTAGAGATAAGAAAAGGAGAAGAGGAAAACCATTGCATCCCCCTCATGTGTCCATTGCGTAAAAGTACACAAACAACTTGTGCAATGCTGTGACACATGCTTAGAGCTAAACATTGCTACACAAGGAATCCAACTAACATAATTTGCTTTTCAGGCAGTTATAATTACACAATTGTGCTCTTCCAACATTGTGGCAAGTTTGGTGAAGGCCATTTTCTGTTCCATCATGACTTTGTCTCTGTGCACAAAGCCAGCTCCATAAAGACATGATAAGGTTGGTGTGGAGCAACCTTAGTGGCCTGTACAGAGTCCAGACCTCAACCTTACTGAACAACTTTGGTATGAACTGGATTGCAGCCAGATCTTCTCACCGAACAAGGTACCTGACCTCACAAACGCTCTTTTGGCTGAAGCAGCACAAATTCTCTAGAAACACTCCAAACTTGTGCGGAAAGCCTTGCTGGAAGAGTGCAGGCTGTTATAACCACAAGGGGAGGCCAACTCCATATTTATGTCCATGGTCTGGGAATGGGACATTAAACAAGCTTATATGGTTGTGATGGTCAGCTGTTCACAAATGTTTGACTTTCAAGGTAGCTCTCGGGCTTTAAAACTATCCACCCCATAAGTAGTACAGCTGTGCCTACCCCCATTCACACTGACCCTAGGGTGGCGCTAAACACTTGCCTTCATTTTTGTAAGGTGGTATAAGTAGCTCTGCCATGTAGCACATCATAATAGTCTTGGATAATGTTATACTCTTACACCTTTACATGGAAACTTTATTGGAATTTTTTATAAAACTTCCATCCAGCCATACTCTGGGTGAATGCGTTTGGCACAGCTGCCACTAAATGGTGCCAACCAAGGAGCATAGACATTTCTTGTGTGCCATGGGGCCATCTAGTGGCAGGAATGCTGTAATAGGCTGAGTAAGGCTGGGTGGAAGTTTTAAAAAATCATCCCCTACGTGTTCGCTTATGAATAGGGATGAACTCAGGTATGATCAACCCCGGTCCAAACCTGAGTTTCTCTGAACATGGAAGTGCTATGAGCCACTCACACAATCAGCTGCGGGCTTGGACATTCCCCACCATTCACCTGCACATAACAAAGGGACGGGATACTTGTGCTAACTTTACTAACCTTATATGGCCGCATGACCATATTAACTATAGCCATGTGGCCATTTAAGGTCACTGCATCCTGCCGCCTGTTTTACAAGTAGCTGCGGGCAGGGAACTCCCCAGCCACAGCTGATTGGATGGCAGTGGAAGAAGCTTCCTTCCACGAGGAGCTCAGGTTGCACTGGGTTCTGTCTGAACCTAAGCTCATCCCTACTTATGACTCACTAACATTAGTTACAAATGCAATAGATAATTAGCCATACATACCATATCAGCAAGATGGTTCATTCCAACAGTGAATGAGTGAACCCCCAATTCATGTTCAAGGTTATGTAGCGTGACAAACTTCAAGTTCTTCTCCCAAATGATTCTCCTTGTAATGTCTTCTCTCTAGAACACATAGAATACAGTAATTAATGTATGATTTGTGTGTGTGTGTGTGTGTGTGTGTGTACATAGATATATAAAATTTGGCACTATTTGTGCCATTGACCCCCAGCTGGTGTATTCATCTGTGAACCAAGCCATCCAATTCAATGTGAACCAAAGATGCCAAAAATATATAAATTCACAAATAAATAAGAGATTAAAGCAATTTCAGAATGAATGTTTCTGTATGGTCACATGGAAGATGAGCAGTATATCACATCCACCTATCTATAGTACATATTCATCTGGTCCATACCTCATGTTCATAATTCTTACTGTAGGTTATTTTCCATAAAGTCCAATGGTTGTCCAGTGCTGGGTCTATAGCCGATGCTACAGATGCGGCCAACAAAATACACACCAGAGTCTTCATTCTCTAAAAAAAAGAAACAAAAGGCATAAGTCTGACATTGCACCTAATATGTACTATGTATGGAAACATTAGCAGAAGATGCAATATAAATGGCAGCTGAATTGTAAAACTAACAATGATGATATTTCAGGAGCTTGTCAGAAATGACAATAAATGAGATTGCGATTACAGAGTAATAAAGGATCTGTTTGAAATGGATAACTTTCTCCGAGTGAAGATGGCACACTTTGCAAGCAAAGATAGCTGAATCCAGAGAACATAACAGAATATATATATAATACACAACAAGGAGACAACATACAACAGCAAGGAGAAGTGCTACGCCATTGTACACACAACAATAGTGTAGGGAAGGTTATTGGGGGTGCTTAACATCTGAATAATCAGATATCTAACTTAAGGGTCCCCACACCCTTAGGTTCACAACAGTGAGATCACCCCACTGAAGGTAATGTGATATTTATCATTCATTATTCACAGTTCAAGGCTACTGCAGAGTAATGAGCGTTCTTTATACAGTATTTAAAGTTTGTTTCCTTTCTTCTTTCCAGCTGATATTAATAAACTCCTACATTTCCCACAACGAAAGAAGAAGTACATCTGCAGTGACAAAATGTGTGAACAAATCACTGATGTGAGAAAAAAACACAAAGACTAGATTTATTAAAGCAGATATAGACTTAAAAGTGTCCAAAAGGGATTATTTAGCACATTTTATTGCAGCCATTTCCATTTTTTTCACCATGGAGAAACCCTTGAAAAAGTCTTTGGGGTTCAGGGAACCCCTGCTAAAAATGATTATATCTACAGCTCATGGAACAATAGTGGTGGTCAGTGTAGACATGTCCCCTTGAATTAGTGGGTAATGGGGTGCCCCTTTACATTAGTAATCATTGGAAAAGTACCCCTCTACAATCATAGAAAAATGTTTTCCTCTGCCTGTTCTCCCCTCTGTCGCTGGCACTGCCATCTTCTCCCGGTCTTCTTCCGGGTTCTTTGATTGGCTGGCTGGCTGGCATAATGTAACTCCTGTGCATGGGAGTTACTACATTCCAGCATGCTGGGTCTGTGCACTGAAACATTTTTTTGCTGATAGGCAGGTAGGAACTTGTTTGGTAGAAGAGACTTACACAGTCTTTGCTATCATAACCTGCCCGTTAGCAATTTTTTATAAACACATTTTACTTCCACTTTAAGGCAGCCCACTGAATGCGATAAAACTATGGAAATACATGCTCTGCATTCTCATACTTTTATTTATATAATAAACGCATTGGAAATGTAAAATATGTATTCCCATACATTCATTGTATGAGCATACACTTTTTTGCGGCTGCCTAGTGCCTGCCATGTACTGTATATGTCTGTTGATCTACCTTGCAGTTATGCTACATTACGAGGTAGATTGATAGACATATATAGCAGGCACTAGGCTGGTGACACATCTGTTCATCGCATGCAGTGCTACGTGTGTCCTTCAGCGCAGGTCTCTCACCCATGCTGTCGCTGACTCCCCCGCTTCTCTGCACCGCTTCTTGAATTTGTGTGATCGCTCCACTACTGCAGGTGTAGAGTTGACATTGGTGTCTCCCAGCAGTCTGACAACCAGCTTCCAAGACACCACGAGCCCAGACCCCCAGCACCCGGGTTCACCTCTGCCCCCCTTTTCCAACAAGTTACCCCTGCTCCCCCTGCAACCTTCTTTTAAAACTGCTCACCTCTGCACCACTCGCATACTTGTTCCTACACTTCTCACCTCTGCACCCCCTGCATCCCTCTTCTTACTTTGCTCACCTCTGCACCCCTCTTCATATTCTGCTCACCTCTGAGTCCCTGGCATTCCTCTTCTGACACTTCTCACTCTTGCACCCCTCTTCTGTTCACAACTGCACCCCCTGCACCCCTCTTACTATTGTGCTTACCTCTGTACCCCCTGCATACCTCTTCCTACTCTGTTCACCTCTGTACCCCCTGCATACCTCTTCCTACTCTGTTCAGCTCTGTACCCCCTGCATACCTCTTCCTACTCTGTTCCCCTCTGTACCTCCTGCATACCTCTTCCTACACTACTCACCTCTGAACCCCTCTTTCCACCTATTTCCTATTCTGCTCAACTCTGCATCCTCTGCATCCACCCTTCTCACCTCTGCATCTCTGTTCCTACTCTGCTTACCTGTGCATCCCTCTTACTACTCTGCTCACCTCTGCACACCCTTCATCCCTCTTCCTCCACTGCTCACCTCTGAACCCCTATTCCTATTCTGCTTAACCCTGCACCCTCTGCATCCACTTTGCTCACCTCTGCATCTCCACTTCCTACACTGCATCCCTGCATCCCTGTTCCTACTCTGCTCACCTCTGCACCTCCTGCATCCCTCTTCCTACTCTGTTCACCTTTGTACCCCCTGCATACCTCTTTCTACACTGCTCACCTCTAAACCCCTCTTCGTATTCTGCTCAACCCTGCATCCTCTGCATCCACTATGCTCACCTCTGCATCTCTGTTCCTATTCTGCATTACTTGTGGCAGGGGGTGCAGAGGAGAACAATGTAGGAAGAGTGATGAAGAGGTTAACAGTGTTAGATGAGGGCAGCAGGCCACCCTCTTCCAACACTATTAACTTCTGCATACTTTTCATTACTTCATCTTACACTGTGAACCCCCTTTATTCTAGCTGCTCACCTCAGGGCAGGACTCCAGCTCCTGCTGAAGACACAGAGCACTGCAAACGGTGCAGGGGTGGAGCCTAATCACGGGGTGGGCAGAGCCTAAACAAGAGCAGACGGGACCCTGATTGACCTGCTCAGCAATCGGCCCCGCCCACTCTCCATGGTAAATAGTTTATGGACAGGCTCCTTTTCTCCTTCCATGCATGGGGCCCAGACAACTTTAGGGAAGGAGGGGAGGGGCCTGTCCATGGTTACTATGGCAAGTGGGCAGTACCATCCTTCTTCCCTAGGGGCAATCCGTGTTGGCTTTGGGTCCCCCTAGTGACTTGATGGGGCCCGGTACAAGAGTGCTGGCTGTAACCCCCTGACGGCAGCCCTGTTGGTCAGTAGCATAGGTGCCCCCTCACGTTGGCAGTCAGCAGGACCGGATTCCCTCGGGGCGGCAGGGAGCAGAGGGGCAGCACAGGTTTGAAGTCTCCTGACGCCCGTCACATGGCGTTCCGGGCGCCAGGCGATAATTTGTTTTCTTAATTTAGCCCTGCTTTGCACAAGCAGGGCTAAATGTAGAACGGGAAAGCCACTTTTTCCTTTACAAGTGATCTTGGCGATGTCGCTAAGATCACTTGTAATTAGACTGCAGCCGGTCCGTCCTCATCCCACGCCACCCCCGCACCTGCCTCTCTGCATTCGGGGCTCCGTCCTCCCGGCTCCCTCCCCCGGCTACGCCCTCT